TGTTCTTCTGCCTCCGGCTGCTGGAGGAGACGGGCATCTGCGAGGTGCCCGGCAGCGGCTTCGGCCAGAGAGAAGGCACCTTTCACTTCAGGTAAGCCCCTCCCCCCGCCCTCCCCTGCCCTGAGCGGCCGTAACTTCACAGGGTCACCACATGACTGGTTATAAGTGGAGGACTACTTGTAACCTTCCTTCCTTCCCTCCTCCCTTCTTTTTCCTTCCTTCCCTCTTTCCTTCCTCCCTCCCTCCCTCCCTTTGTTCTTTTCCCTCCCTTCTTCCTTTCCTTCTTCCTTTCCTTCCTCCCTTCCTTCTTTTTTCTTCCTTCCTTCCCCTCCCCTTCCTCCCTTCCTTTTTTCCTTTCTCCTTCCTTCCTCCCTCCTTTTACTTTTTTTTCTTCCTTCCTTCCCCTTACTGCCTCCTTCCCGCCCCTCCCCTCCCCTTCCTCCCTTCCTCCCTTCTTTTTCTTTCCCTCCCTCTTTTTCCTTCCTTCCTTCCTTCTTTCCTCCCTCCCTCTCTCTCTCCCTCTGTTCTTTTTCCCTCTCTCCTTCCCTCCCTTCCTTCTTCCTTTCCTTTCCTTCCTCCCTTCATCCTTTTTTCTTCCTTCCTTCCCCTTACTGCCTCCTTTCCTTCCCTTCCCCTTCCTTCCTTCTTTCCTTCCTTCCTCCCTCTCTCCCTCTGTCCTTTATCCCTCCCTTCTTCCTTTCCTTCCCTCTTTCCTTCCTCCCTCCCTCTATTTTCCCCCTCTCTCCCTCCCTTCTTCCTTTCCTTCCTCCCTTCCTTCTTTTTTCTTCCTTCCTTCCCCTTACTACCTCCTTCCCTCCCCTCCCCTTCCTCCCTTCCTACCTTCTTTTTCCTTCCCTCCCTTTTTCCTTCCTTCCTTCTTTCCTTCCTCCCTCCCTCTCTCCCCCTGTTCTTTTTCCCTCTCTCCTTCCCTCCCTTCCTTCTTCCTTTCCTTCTTCCTTTCCTTCCTCCCTTCCTTCTTTTTTCTTCCTTCCTTCCCCTCATTGCCTCCTTTCCTTCCCTTCCCCTTCCTTCCTTTCTCCCTCTCTCCCTCTGTCCTTTATCCCTCCCTTCTTCCTTTCCTTCCCTCTTTCCTTCCTCCCTCCCTCTGTTTTTCCCCTCTCTCCCTCCCTTCTTCCTTTCATTCCTCCCTTCCTTCTTTTTTCTTCCTTCCTTCCCCTCACTGCCTCCTTTCCTTCCTCCCTCCCTCTCTCCCCCTTGTTCTTTTTTCCTCCCTCCCTCCCGTCCTCCCTCCTTTCCTTCCTTCCTCATTCCCTTCCTTTTCCTTCCTTTGTTCTTCCCTCCTTTTTTTCTTCGTTCTTCCTTCCTTTCTCACACACTCTCTTCTCGCTCTCTCCATCCCAGAATGACCATCTTGCCTCCGGAGGAGAAGCTGGAGATGCTCCTGCAGANCCCCCTCCTCCTCCCTGCAAACTCCATTCCCCTTTAGCACTGATGATGTTACTAGATGGGTAATTAAACTTCTACAAGAAAACCACCAAGCTCAGAAAACTCCAAGAAGCCCACAGTCCTCCTCCTTTGCAAACTCCACCCCCCCTTCTAGCATTGATGATGTTACCTAGTCTGGTCACGAAACGTCTACAAGAAAATCACCCCATTCTCCTTTTTGGGGGACAGGCCTTCCTTCCGAAGACTCAGCGCTGGGCTGAGGCTGATTTCTCGGGGGGTCCTTTCCCTTCTCCCTTCCTGAGGTCCGGAGTCCTTCGTGCAGAGGCCCTGCTTCAGCCAGTCCCTTCCTTCTCCCCGCAGGTCAAGTCCAAAGCCGCAAATGCATCGAGGAGGTCATCCACTTCGCTTGGGAAGAAGGCCTCTTCCTCATGGCCGACGAGGTAAAACGTCTCTCCTGCCCCCCAAAACTGAGCCATCCCCCCAAAAAAAACCTTCCCTGTGCAGGGTGGGGCCCTTGAGCCAGGAGGAGGAGGAGAGAAGCGGGTGCAGAGTCTCCATGAGGCTTCTGGCCCCCCCATTCCCACTCAGCCTCCCAGCAGATCCAGTCAGCCCAGTCAGGGATCGGGAGATTCTAGCTGAAAACATCTGGAAAAAGTCTGGGACTGAAGTGGGTTCTCCAGATGAGATTTCCCTGCTGCCTCCGAACCACACCTGCGTTTTCCAGTGGTGGGATTCAATTTTTTTCCATCTAGTTCTGTGGGTGTGGCTTGGTGGGTGTGGCTTGGTGGGTGTGGCTTGGACATGGCTTGGTGGGCGTGGCTTGGGCGTGGCTTGGTGGGCGTGGCAGGGGAAGGCTACTGCAAAACCCCCATTCCCTCCCCACTGGGGGGGACCAGCCACAGGTGGCATTTGCTGGTTCTCCAGAACTGCTCAGAACTTCCACTAGCGGTTCTCCAGAACCTGCTGGATTTCACCCCTGGGTTTCCCCCACCCCACCCCCAGGTGTACCAGGACAACGTCTACGCGGAGGGCTCCCAGTTCCACTCCTTCAAGAAGGTCCTTTTCGAAATGGGTCCCAAGTACTCGGAAGCGGTGGAGCTGGCCTCCTTCCACTCCATCTCCAAGGGCTTCATGGGCGAGTGAGTAGCAGGGGCTGGTCAGCTTCCCTTCTGGAGGTGCGTGGAGCTTCTCCGCCCCCCAAAGGGGGTTTTCTCCAAAAGGCAACTGGACTGTCTTGGTTCCCCCCCCCCCTTGAATACATTTGGCTTCTCCTCCAGAGGAGGCTGGGCTTCCATCTGTCAGGAACGGAGTGGGGTCTCCTGCTTGGTTGAGGGGAGGGAGGGGTTGGACTAGATGATCTCCAAGGTCCCTTCCAACTCTGTTAACCTGTACCTGGCCAGGTGTGGTTTCCGTGGAGGTTACATGGAAGTCATTAATATGGACCCTGAAGTCCAGCAGCAGCTGACCAAGCTGGTGTCTGTCCGCTTATGCCCACCTGTGACTGGCCAGATTCTCCTGGACGCCGTGGTCAACCGGCCCCAGCCAGGAGACCCCTCCTACCAGCGCTTCAGCCAGGTGAGTTCAGAAGGGGCAGGGGGGCAAATGGGGTGGGGGGGGAACAGTGGGGGCCCCCCATCTCTTACTGGTGCCAAGGAATCGGTTGCATGAAGATGGTAAAAAAATCCAGAACATCTGCTGGATGCCACGAAGGTAGTCCTCAACTTACAACGATTCGTTTAACGGCTGTTCAACAGCTCTGAAAAAAAGTGGCACGGCTCAAGTCCTCGCATGTATGACCGTCGCAGCACCCACAGAATCACCATGACAAAGTGACAGGTGTTTATAGAAGTTGCGGGTCACATGATGGCCGTTCCCCCCCCCCAAGCTGACTCTGGACAAGCAACGCCATTCGCGATTGGCTTAACCCTCCCCCCCCCCAAAAAAAATCATAAAATTGTGTGCGGCTTGTTTAATGACCGCCTCGCTTAGCCATGGAAATTTTGATCCCAGTTGTGGTCATAAGTTGAGGACTGCCTGTATTTTGTGTTTGATATTGGACTTCCTGAGTCCAGATCTCTGAACTACTACAATATCCATCATGACCATCTAGCACCGTCTGAGGATTGTGGGCGTTGTTATCCCACAGATCTAGAGGACATGAGAGTGGAGATAGTGGCATATACAGAGAGTCCTTGACTTATGACCACAATTGAGCTGAAAATTTATGTCTCTAAGTGAGACATTTGATGTGTGTTTTGCCTCTATGACCTTTCTGGCCACTGTTGTTAAGTGAATCACTGCAGCGGTCAAGCTAGTGACACGGTTGTTAAGTGAATCTGGCTTCCCCATTGACTTTGCTTGTCAGGCAGTTGCAAAAGGGGATCACGTGACCCCAGGACACTGCGACCGTCATAAGTACAAGTCAGTTGCCAAGCTGCTGAGTTTCGATCACGTGACCATGGAGAAGCTGCAACGGTCGTAAGTGTGCAAAACGGTCATAAGTCACTGTTTTCAGTGAGGTTGCAATTTTGAATGGTCACTAAGTGAACCGTCGTAAGTCGAGGATCATATACTGTATAATGCAGAGCGTGAGATTTGAATTTTTCTTTGAACCGGACCTATTTTCACCTGGAGGGGCCAAGGCCGAGGGAAGCCCCCGCGGAAAAGCTTCCGTTTTGGCCTTGAGTCCCCTCCCGGCATCCCCAGCCTCAGGAAACGGCAAAAAAGTCAAGATGGCCACTGCGACTGTGAAGCTTGGCTCCTTTCTTGCCGAGGATGCAACAGATTCTCCTTCTGCACTGCGTGTCTTCCTTCCCCCC